AACATCTTTTAACTGTTTCCAGGGAGTTAGAATTATTTCCTTATGAGAGAGTTTCCAAGAAGAATTACTATATCAAAGGTGAAAATTCTTATTAAATCTACATCAGAGGAGAAATTGTGAGGATCAGTATATAAGCTTTTCATGGGAAAACACTTTGAAAACTACAAAGCACTACATAAACGTATGGTGGTATTATCATTATTATAAGTCCATGTCATATGGACTTCTACTGACCCATTATTTACCTGGAATGGTACTCCATAAATCTCTGCTTATTTTCTACAAATGAAATCACTACCATATAGCATACTGTTTACAAATTGTATCTTAGAGAATCATAAAATCTTTTTGATCTTGCTGTGGTAAGTCAAAAAACTTGAAGGTAATAATAATAAAAAGCAACAAACAGATTGAAATATGAGTGGTAAAGTTAAGAAGCACAAATTCAAAGAATAGGACTGATATGGACCTCAGAGTACATCAAGCTCAACCCCTTTACTCTTTAGATGAGATGATTGAGGCCCAATAGAAACCATTTGCCCAAGATACCAGCAAGTAAAAAGAGATGGAACAGAACACCAACGTTTCTAATTGTTGGTGCTATGTTCTTTCTATTAAACCATTTCATCTACCTTTTTGGAGTCCACTGGATGACAAAATTTCATTCCTCCCATTATATCTTCCCAAGTTACTTAAAATAAAATGCTAGCTTGAGTTTATAATATATACATCTTTTAAACTGACAACTTATACAAGTATCTATAAAGCTAGTGTTCTAAATATAGGACTATGACTTGGGTCTATCCACAGATAACTGTGGGTCTGTTAGAATAACTGTCTTTTCTTGCTCTTTTATTAAAAGATAAATTAGCAAAATATAATCATTAAAAAAGTTTCAAAATCTAGAATCTCAAATCAACTGTGCTATCTTCCCCTAAAAGCTAGAGATCCTGTGGGTTTTGAATCAGAAGACTAAGGTTCAAGTTTTGGCTCTACCACTTAATGGATCTGGGTGACCTTGAAGTAGGGCACTTAACTTGTTCAAAGCTTAGTTTCCTTATTAGCAAAAGAAGACAACAATAATTTTATGCCTCATAGGGTTATGACAGATTATAAGAAATGTGCCCTGTTACCTGTACAGTGCTAAGCTATAAACATCATTATGATTATCTGTGTAACCATTATACCAAGCAATAGAGAAGAAATAAAAGTTCAATGCTCAAAGTCCAATCTACTGTGCTTAATCCAGGACAATCAAAGCCTGACTCAGTTTCTGTTTTCATAAGGATGAATAGAACAAGAGATTTGCATTTTTTGTTTTAATATCTTGAATATATAGCACCACATCTTTTTATGCAGTTCTAAAATTATTCCATTATAAGATAAAAATATCATATCAGTTTGCAAATAGCAAAACAGAAAAAATACTGCTAAATTTTGGGGGAGCACTCTAGGAATGTAATATTCCCCCTGATTAAAAATGTAATGCTCCAGTTCCTCAAGAAGTTGAAAATAGAGCTATCCTATGACCCAGCAATTGCACTACTGGGTATTTACCCCAAAGATACAAATGTAGTGATCCGAAGGGGCACATGCACCCCAATGTTTATAGCAGCAATGTCCACAATAGCCAAACCAGGGAAAGAGCCTAGATGTCCATCAACAGAAGAATGGATAAAAAAGATGTGGTAATATATACACAATGGAATATGATGCATCCATCAAAAAAATGAAATCTTGCCATTTGCAACAACCTGGATGGAACTAGATAGAGGGTATTATGCTAAGCGAAATAAGTCAATCAGCGAAAGACAAGTATCATATGATCTCACTGATATGAGGAATTTGAGAAACAAGACAGAGGATCTTAGGGGAAGGGAGGGAAAAATGAAACAAGACAAAACCAGAGAGGGAAACAAACCATAAGAGACTCTTAATCTCAGGAAACAAACTCAGGGTTGCTGGAGTGGAGGGGGGTGGGAGGAATGGGGTGGCTGGGTGACAGACATTGGGGAGGGGAAAAAAAAAAAAAGAAGAGAGAAGTTATGACAATGAAAACAAATTGAAGATCGTAAAAAAAAAAAAAAAAGTAATGCTCCAGGTAAGGGTAACATGTCGTAGAGACAGTGAGAAGAGCTCACTGTCCAGGAACACAGAGTAAGTCACGTCATCAAGAAGCCTAGGAGAGACACAGACTGATCCCAGTGTGTGTATCTACTCTGAGCTTTGTGCACACTCATACCTATGTTCTTTTGGGGGGGTGGGTCTTTACCTTCCCATCTCTACTTCCCTTCCTTCTACTTTTGGAGCCAACTCTGACTCGCCCTTAAAGGTCTAGCTTGCATGTGTCCTTAGGAATACCTCCCAGAGAAAGTTTCCCAATACCTCTGTCACCAGCACACACTATACTACGGTGTTGGTTAGAAAGTGAACACCAGGTTTAGGAACCAAGTCCTATTCATCCTTGTCTCCCCAGTGCCCAGTCCAGTACCTGACACAGAGTAAGTGATGAATCAGCATTACTTGCAGCTACAGAAACACCGAGAGTAAACAGAAATAGTCATACTAGTCATAGGACTAAGATGAATGAAAAGAAACACTGACAGCAAATAAAAAGTGCCGAGCAGAAGAAAAGAATGAAGAAATGAGCCAGGCGGTGGAGATGGAAGTTTAGAGGCTCTTCCAAAAGCTGTCTTCATCCAGCCTTTGCCCTAATGCCAGAAAGCTTTTATATGGCAAGGGAACTGACAATCCTAGAGAGGACTGGGGGAAGAAAGCAGGTAAAAACAGAGAAATAAAATAAAGACTGACACAAGTCTGTGACTAGCAAATTCTCCACTCTTAGTTGCAAGGCCTATGCATTATTTCCTTATATCTTATATCATTTTGGGGGTTCTACAGTCTACCTATAATTTTTAAAAAGGCTCATTTATCAAAAGGTATTGACTATTCACAAAAGAACTTGAAACAGCAAATAACATAAGGGATAGCATGGAGGACATTAGGAGAAGGAAGGGAAAAATGAAGGGGGGGAAATCGGAGGGGGAGACAAACCATGGGAGACTATGGACTCTGAGAAACCAACTGAGGGTTTTAGAGGGGAGGGGGGTGCGGGGGATGGGTTAGCCCAGTGATGGGTATTAAGGAGGGCACGTATTGCATGGAGCACTGGGTGTTATACGCAAACAATGAATCATGGACTCACTACATCAAAAACTAATGATGTACTGTATGGTGACTAACAGAACACAATTAAATTAAATTAAATTAAAAAAAAAGAAACAGCAAACAAATATATAAAATACATGAACTTAACAGTCACTAATAATCAAAAAGCTACAAATCAAAGTACAAAGATACATTTCCTCTCTCACATAAAAAAAGTTAATAAACATACAACATGCAATAACATAGAATATATAATATTGGCAAGAGGGTAAAGAAGCACCTATATATAACTTTAAAATGTATATATTCTTTGACCCAGCAATTAAGTATTTATCCTAAGCAAATAACTGAGCACAGGTATAATTAAATAGAAAGATGCTTTCTCATTACAAAGTTGTTTACAATAGAGAAATTTTGGAAAACAATCTAAATGTCCATCAATAAGGCAACTGTTATCGTATGTCCAGGCAATGCAGACAACAAAATTTTACACAACTATCTTTATCAACATGAATCTATCTTCACAATATAGTTAAATGAAAAAAGTGGAACAATAAAATGCACAGTATGAAACCATTTACATAAAATTTTACTTATTTAACTTATGTATGTATATTTGCACAGATGTTTGGAAAGGTGTTCATCAAGATATTACAATGGTGTCTCTGAGTAGTAGAATCCCAAGTGGTTTAAATTTCTTTCTTTAATGCTCTTCTGTATTTTAAAAACAAATTCATAATGAGATTGGATAATTTATATGATAAAAGTTATTTTTATTTTGAAAAAAGAAAACTGTTACCTTAACTTGAAACTAAAAGTTCATTTATAGTGAACAAGGTATCTGATTATTTTCCTTCCAAATACATGGTACTCACCCATGCAGCTAAAAAGGCAATTTTCCCCTTTCTTTGCTTATTTGTAACTTGTATTTAGCTTGTAATCTACTTCCACATGTTGTTACCTTATTTCTATTTGTGGAATATGGGATTTATTTATCACAAAGTTATACTGTACTTTGCATTTTATGTACTTAGCAAACATTTATTTAGCACTTACTCTGTTCCAGGCACTATTCTAAGTCTTTACAAATATTATTTAATCCTCACAACAACTCTAAGAGATAGGAACTATACTATATAGGTATTATTATTATTATTATTATTATTATTTTTTTTTTTTTATTTTCCCATTTTACAGGATCCTGAGGCACAGAGAGATTAAGTAACTTATGCACAATCATATAGCTAAAGTAATACAACTGGCATTTGAACCCCTGCAGTCTAGATTTATAGTACTTGCTCTTAAACACAGCTATGATGCATTTCTTTTAGTTCATTTTATTCTAGGATTTTGGCTTTGATAAGGTTACATTCATTAGGATAATAATTTTACCATCCTTGGAAACCCAAGGATGGACATTTTAAAATGCTTTTCTCTAATAGGTACCAAAATTTACATATAATAATTTTTTGAAGTTCATTTCCTTAAATAGCTTATACCTAAGTTATGCTTGTTCCTTTGATGCCAGCTAAAAGCAGACTTTTCATAGATATTATTTCTCATAATTCATTTCATGAGGCTTAACCATAAAAAAGTTAGAATTTATAGTCTACCTTCTCTGAACTAAGCACTGTGTATTTCATTTCACTTGAGGTGCATTCTTTAAATACTTTTCTCCCAGTAAAAAATGTCACTCATGGTGGTGATTTGGAAAAGGCTAATGTCATTACTGAATACGGAATTTATTTCTTTAATTGAAGAAAATAATTTGGCAGCCTAAAATATTAAAATATGCAAAACAAAATGCTAAAGTAAATCTTTTAAAACAACTAGGAGAAAGGAAGAGAGAAGTTATCAAAGAGGCTAAACCAAATAAGCTGCTAAATTTACACTTAGCTCTTGGGTAGCCACAGATAAAAGGGAAACCTGTTAACTTACTATGTTTCTTTCTGTCTGATAAAAGGAAACCAGCAAGTACAGTCCCTTGAACTTAGTCAGATGATTAGGGTCTGAATTTCTCTGCTCACCCTTCAGAGAGGTTCAGTTTACCTAAACATAGAATGGGGATAATAATACTAACACTTCTAGGACTTTTGCAAAGAAAAAAATGTGTGATGTGATGATATATGTGAAAGATCTTTGTACTTTAAGATAAGCTGTATAAATATAGGTTATAATTGTTTTATTTTTCATTTGGAAAGATATTTTTGACATTGGATTTCTAGTTTCAGTTTAAAGTGAGAAAAGATGTCCAATGAAGGTAAAAATAAATTATTTTGTCTTGCCAATTTATCACTCAGCTTTAAAGAGTACAGTGATCACAGCCAATATATCATTAAAAATGTCGGGGGAGTCTGGTTAATAACTAAAATGGTTCTTTTTTTTTTTTTTTTAAAGATTTTATTTATTTTTTTCATGAGAGACAGAGAGAGAGGCAGAGGCAGAGGGAGAAGCAGGCTCCCAAGGAGCAGGGAGCCCGATGCGGGACTCGATCCCAGGACGCTGGGATCATGACCTGAGCCGAAGGCAGACGCTTAACCATCTGAGCCACCCAGGCGCCCACTAAAATGGTTCTTAATAATGAGCACTTAACCAATTACTTACAACTACAAAAAGGTAATATTATCCCTTTAAATACAGAATACTTTTGAAAAACAACTATATATGATTTTTCTACCTCAGTTAAAGCCTTTATTTAAATAGATATGTCAAGATACATTTAAATATATATTTAAATATACACATATTTAAATAGAAATAACTATCAACCTTAACAAGGAAAAAACAATCCTCCGGCTAATTCATCCACCATTCATTCTTTCAGTAACTATTTACTAAACATCCCAAACATGCCCAGGGAGCTAATACAGACCACAATCAGGTTCAAGTATAAAGACTTGTAACTGGCCAATGGTGGTCAACCAAAAACATCTTTCCTATCTCTGCTATTAAGGTAACTCTCTGCTTCATCCAGGCTGGTCTTGATATACTTAAGCAGTGCTTCTTCTGCACCTTTGCTCCCCCTCCTCTCTCACTAGCCAAACACCTTCATCCTTGAATTCCCAGTTCAGATGCCATAGCTTTCTACTGAAGGATTCCTTCTCCATATCAGCCTAACAGGAATGACAACTCAACATCAAGAATAAACAATGGCAGCTACCAATGATTGAGTACCCTTTCTAGGGACAAATTCTGAGCTATAAACTTGACATTCATTGTTTCTAGTCCCCACAACAATCCTATGAGGATTTTAAAGAGATAAGTAAATGGAGAGGAAGTGAGATTTTATTACATGCCCAAGTTCATCCAGACAGTCAGTGGGATGCACAGCCAGGTCTGTGGAACTCTAAACCACCATAGGGCTCTACCTGCCATGAGCCAGATCTGTACCTTGGACAGAAACTCTCCTTTGATAGTGATTATTGTATGTCTTGTACTGCTGGCTAACTATTTACATATTGTACCTATTTTTTTATCCCCCTCACCCAAAATATAGACAACTTGAGAGTAAAGTCAGTCTCTCATAGACCTTATACAGTTCAAACACTCAGATATTTGTGGGTTGAGATAAATACATACACATAAGAAAATGTGATTTTTCTACTTTTAAAGAGAAAAAAAAATCACACAAAGGAGTAAGTATGAGTTACATCTTCAAAGTAAGGATTTGACTGAAAATCTGCTTTGTCCACAGCAGCATGAAGCTTAGGTTTGAAATGATTTAGTGGAAACACTATAGGACCCACAGGAAAGTTTGAGAGACAAGATTTCTGCCACTGCAGAGCTGCAGTGAGCTGCTTTACTATTGACCTTACTACATCTCATATCTGAATATGTCATTCTACAGGGGAGAAATATATTAATATATACATAACATAATAATATATTTAACAATAAGTGTATGTAAACATATATTAGTGCTAACTAATATCATAACCAAAACCATATTTTTAAGAAAACTCTAGAAGAATATATGTCCAAGATTATAAGAATGGTTAAATTAAAATATATGTATAGAGTGGTGCCTGGATGGCTCAGTCGGTTTAAGTGTCTGCCTTCAGCTCAGGTCATGATCTCAGGGTCTTGGGATCAAGCCCTGTGTCAGGCTCCCTGCTCAGCGGGGAGTCTGCTTCTTCCTTTCCCTCTGTCCCTCCCCTCTCACTTGTGCTTCTCTCTCTCTGTGTCTCAAATAAATAAATAAAATCTTTAAAAAATATATGCACAGAAATGAAATATTATATATTTAGAAATATATATTTATATATTAAAAATATTGACTAAGAGTTTTTAATGGCTTGGGTAAAAGCTTGTGTTCAAAAAAGCAAAAAGATATAGAGCAGTATATATAATGTTACTTCAACTATGTAAGAAAAAGACAAGGGACTCCTGGGTAGCTCTGACTCATGATTTTGGCTCAGGTTATGATCTCATGGGTCATGAGATTGAGCCCCATGTTGGGCTCCACATTCAGTGGGGATTCTGCTTGAGATTCTCTTTTCCTCTCCATCTGCCCCCCAAACCACGCATGCTCTCTTTCCCTCTTTTTCTCTCAATTAAATAATAAATAAATGTTAAAAAAAAAAGAAATGAAATTAAAAAAAAAGACAAAATGTCTGGAAGATTTGGAAGGCACATATGAATGATGAGATTATAGAATCTTTTAAAAAAATCTGTTCTTCTATCTTCTTTTGTACTTCAAAAAGTCTATGGGGCACCTGGTAGCTCAGCTGGTTAAGTGGCCAACTCTGGATTTTGGCTCAGGTCATGATCCCAGGGTCCTGGGATCAAGCCCACTATGGGCTCCATGCTCACTGGGGGGACTCTGCTTGAGATTCTTTCTCTCCCTCTCTCTCTGTCCCTCCCCCCACTCACATGTGCTCTCTCTCTCTCTCAATTAAATCTTTAAAAAATTTTCTACAATTGGCATATATTGAATTTAGAAAAATATTTTTTAGAAAATACTTCAGAAAAAAGATATAGGGTGTACCAGCATAAGGACTGACATACAGATTAATGGAATAGAGTTTAGAGTTCAGAAATAAATCCTCACATTTATAGTTAATTTTCAACAAGAATGCCAAGACAACTCAATGGGTAGAGAGCAGTTTTTTCAACAAATTTTTCTAAGACAATTGGATATTCACATGCAAAAGAATGAAATTGGACCTCTTCCTTAAACTTTACAAAAAAATTAATTCAAAATGGATCACAGACCTAAACATATGAGCTAAAACTACACAGAAGCAAACCTTGTGCTAAGCTTTCTTAGATTTTTTTTTTTAACACCAAAAGCACAAGCAAAAAAGGAAAAACAAATTTAAAAATTGAACTTTATTGTGGCACCTGGGTGGCTCAGTCAATTAAACATCCAACTCTTGGTTTTGGTTCAGGTCATGATCTCAGGGTCGTGAGATCGAGCACCATGTTGGGCTCTGTGCTCAGTGCGGAGTTGCCCTGAGGATTCTGTTTCTCCCTCTGCCTCTCTCTGCTCTGATGCTCTCACTCTAAAATAAATAAATAAATCTTCTTAAAAAATTGGACTTTATCAAAAACTGAAAACCTTTCACCTAGCATAATTCTCTACAGCTCCAACCATGTCATGCCGAATGGGAAGATTTCATTCCTTTTTATGGCTGAGTAATATTCCACTGTATATTTACACACCACCTCTTCTTTATCCATTCTTCAGTTGATGGACATTTGGGCTGTTTCTATAATTTGGCTATTGTAGATAATGCTGCTATAAACACAGGGGCGCATGTATCCCTTTGAATTAGTGTTTTTGTATTCTTAGGGTAAATACCTAGTGGTGCAATGGCTGGATTTTTAACTTTTTAAGGAAATTCCATACTGTTTTCAGAGAGGCTAGACCAGTTTGCATCAACAACAGTGCGGAGATTATTCCTTCTCCACATCCTTGCCAACGCTTGTTTCTTGTGTTGTTGATTTTAGCCATTCTGGCCAGGCAATGGGTTAAATGGGTGATGGGGACTAGGGAGTGCTCTGGTTGTAATGAGCATCAGATGATGTATGGAAGTATTGAATTATGATATTATATATCTGAAACTAATATTACACTGTACCTTAACTAACTGGAATTTAAATAAAAGCTTAAAACCTAAAAACCTTTGTGCTTCAATGGACACTATCAAGAAAGTGAAAAAGACAGCCTATGGAATGGGAGAAAATATTTGCACATCATACATGTGAGAAGGGACTTGTGTCTAGGTTATATAAAGTACTCTTACAATTCAATAACAAAGACAAATAATCCAACTTAAAAATGGGCAAGGGGCCTGACCGAACATTTCTCCAAAGAACATATTACAAATGTCCAATAAACACATGAAAAGATGCACAATATCATTAGCCATTAGGAAAGTTCAACTCAAAACCACAATGAGATACCACGTTGCATCCAGCAGGATGACTATAATCAAAAACACAGAAAATAACAAGTGGTGGTGAGGACGGGTAAGGGAACTGAAACTCTTATACACTGCTGCTGGGAAGGTCAAATGGTGTAGCTGCTTTGGAAAATAGTCTGGCAATTTTTCAAAACGTTAAACAGTTACCATATGGCTCAGCAATTCCACTCCTAGGTAAATAACCAAGAGTAATGAAAACATATGTCCTCACAAAGACCTGTACGTGAATGTTCATAGCAGTATTATACATAATAACCAAAAAGTGTAAACAACCCAAATGTCTACCAACTGATGAACTGATGAATAAAATGTGGTATATATCCATACACCTCTTCAAAAAGCCAAAATGATTTGGCAAAAAAAAGGAATGAATGATACATGCTATCACATGGACGAACCTGGAATCTATGAAAGTGTAGGAAGCCAATCACAAAGACCACATACTCTAGGAGTCTATTTATATGAAATGTCCAGAACAGGCAAATCTGTAGAAACAGAAAGCAGAATGGTGGCTGCCTAGGGATGTGGGTCTTGCGGAATAGGGAGTAAGTAATGGGTACAGGGTTTCTTTGGGGGCAATAAAAATATTCTAAAGTTGACTGTGGTGATAGTTGCACAACTCAATGAATATACTAAAAACCATGGAATTGTACATTTTAAATGGATGAATTGTATGATATGTGAATTACATCACAGTAAAGTTTTCTTTAAAGATATAGGTATAGGATTAAAAAAAAAAAAGTTTCTACTATATTCCTGGCAAATTTTGTAGGCAGCAGGGGGAGAAAATGGCAGTCTGACTATTAAAACATCCTTGGAATTTATATTCTCGATTCCAAGAATTAGGAAAATAAAAATACATTTTCTCCCCACGTGTCATATAGATTGGACTGTATGTTGGAGAAATAGACATGAATTTAAGCTGCTGGGTGTAAGCTGGCATTGATCTCTTCTAAAGAGCTGAGCACCATGGGCCCCACGAGTAGTCAAGTTTTAGAGAAAGACCATGTCCTTGGCAGAACAGAGGTTTCCAACCGTTTTTGGAAGGAGAAGCTTACTTTTACTTTCTATGAAGTCTTAAAATAACCTGAGGGGAAAGAGGTAATAGAGTAAAAGGAAGAGCGGTCATAAAGTCTGCTGGTTCTTCTATTGAACTCATGCTCTCAGGCTTCCTATCTGTAAAAGGCAGATCACTGTCTGTGACCTATCACCTCATAGGATTGTAATAAGGCCCACATTTTTTAAAAATTTAAAAAAGAAAGAGAGGAAAAGAAACATCACTGGGATATGGCCAGACTGACGTCAGAAGATTTGGTCTTGATTTCTGTTTGCCATTTGATAGTTTTGTCATTCTCTGGAAGTTAGCATAGCAGCAGTTCAATTTCTTATCTCTAAAGATAGACCTGGTCAACATGCTTCACGGAGCATGAAGTGTGATAAAGAAGTAAAAGTATAATAAAAGGCCATTACATTCAAAACAAATGTAAATCATCATTAGTATTTGTAAACTGGATCCTCAAGGTGTTACTGTTAAGTCCCTGAGCTTTCAAGAAAGCACAGAAAGAGGCTTGGCTTAAAAGCCAAAGGCAATAAGGAAAGAGCCCACTGATAGCGGCTGGCCTTGTACTGAACACACTGCACTGGACTTGTACTGAACATATTACCAGAATTCAAACTGTTTTTTTTTTTTTTTAAAGATTTTATTTATTTATTTGACAGAGAAAGACACAGCGAGAGAGGGAACACAAACGGGGAGTGGGAGAGGGAGAAGCAGACTCCCCGCCGAGCAGGGAGCCCGATGTGGGGCTCGATCCAGGGACTCCAGGATCATGACCTGAGCCGAAGGCAGTCGCTTAACCAACTGAGCCACCCAGGCGCCCCAGAATTCAAACTGTTAAGTCTCTTATATCATGTTCCAAATTTGGGGAACCAATAAGTGTGTCTTATCAAGCAACTCAGGTGTTTTGTAGGAAATCTGGATGGCCACATTCTCTAGGACAGCAGTTCTTAAACTTTTTGGTCTCAAGATCTCTATACTTCTTAAATTTACTGAGGATGTTAAAGAACTTTTTTTTTTTTTATATGGGTCATTTATACCAATGTTTACCATATTAGAAATTACAATTGAGAAAACTGCTAAATATTTCATTTAAAAATAACAATAGAGGGGCACCTGGGTGGCTCAGGTGGTTAAGTGTCTGCCTTCAGCTCAGGTCATGATCCCAGTGTCCTGGGATCAAGTCCTGTGTTGGGCTCCCTGCGCAGCAGGGAGTCTGCTTCTCACTCTCCCTCTGCCCCTACACCCTTCCCCGCCATGCTTGCTCTTTCGCTCCCCCCTCTCTCTCTCAATAAATAAAATCTTAAAAAAAATCAATTACTTGTTAATATAAATAATAATTTAAACAAAAAACATATTTTCTAAAAAAAGAAATTTAGAGAGATGAGTGACATTGTTTTACATTTTTGCAAGTGTGTTTTGCAATGTCTACCTTAACAGAAGACAGCTGGATTCTCATATATCCTTCTGCATTCATTTTGTTATGCATATGCATATGTTTGCATATGTTGTTTCCTAAGAAAATCCAGCCTCATACAGATAATATAGTTGGAAATGAAAGGAGTATTTTAATAGCCTTTTCAGATAATTATGGATATTCTTCTCTAATACTACTCCAAACTCAACAAGTAGGTGTTTTATTTTTTTTCTATACCCAATGCGGGGCTCAAACTCACAGCCCTGAGATCAAGAGTTGCATGCTCTACTGACTAAGCCAGCCAGGCACTCCTCAACAAATAGCAGCTTCTTAAATGTTAGTTATCAGTGTAGAATCTGAAACCACACCAATATACTTTTCACATCTGTTACATTAAAATCTTTTTTTTTTTTTTGCATTTTAAATAAGAGGTCTTTACCTGCACCTGATTTCACAGCATCATATACTGGTCACTTGGAAAATATTGGCTAACTAGTTATATAGATTTTAAATGTTGACACATTCAGTACACAATATTTAAAAATCACATTTGTTAAATGCCACTACCAACCTCATCAAAAACATCCTTAAGGAATGGAAAGCTGTCAATCTCATGGCAGCAAACACAAGTCTTCCAAAATACTAGTTTTCATTTAAAATCTTAAATTTTATCATCAGTTGATTTCCTTTGAGAGGCTCACTTCACTCATTTTTGAAAGAGTATTTTTCAAATATCTAAGTCTGAATAGTTTGTTGGTTTAGTCATTCTTTCAAGTAAAGATGGTGCTCCATGAAAAATCAGGTAGTTTAGTTGGCAACTCAATTGCACAAGTGCTTTTCCTTGAAACACCATTATACTTCAGTATGCAGCAGAAGTGCTTTATGTCTATTTCCATTTCCATCACACAGAATACTGAAAAGATATGTACTCAAGGGTCAATAATTTTACTGCTTCATCAATGGCATTCTTAAATGAAACTGGCTTTTCTTTTTTTTAAAAATCAGTTTGTTGAAAGTGTCCCTTTTTCTTATTTTAGGTCAACATGTTCACTCATGTTCTGTATCCTATTTCCTCTCCCCTTCTCAAAGACTTTACTCCTTCAAGTATCCCTTCTTTATCTTGTATTGATAATTTCTCTCTCTCTATTTGATCACTCTCATCAGCATATAAACATGGCCTGCTATTTCCCATCTTAAAAAAAAAAAACTCCACATTCCCACAAAGCAAACAAACAAAAAAACAACAAAAGACCTTCCCCTAACCCCAGTCTTTTCCAGTTACGAACCCATTTATCTATCTCACCTCACAAAAAACACCTCAGAAGAGTGTCTACAATCAATGTCACTTCCTCATTTCCTATTCACTCTTTAGCACACCTACTGATCTACTGAAATTGCTTGTCAACGGCTTCCATGTCCCCAACTCTACTGCATGCTTCATCTTATGGTAGAATTTGACATAGCTGATGACTCCTCCCTTCCAGAAATTTACTTCTTCTGGTTTCCAAATTATTACTTTCTCCTGGTTTTCTCTCCTACCTGATTGGTCATTCCTCTCAGTCTTTGCTAAGACATCCTCTTCCACCCAACTTCTAAATGTGA